CAATAAAAACTCCTTCATCACTCCTTGAATCAAAGTTACGTAAATTTTCTTTATCATTCAAGATAAAGCATTTGCATCCAAACGCATGAAAGTAAGAGAGATCAGATTTCTTACCTTTCCAAAGCTCCTAAGGAATTTGAAGGGTACATTTTCTGAGATACACTCTATTGGAAATGTGACAAGCCGTGTTAATGGCTTCAGTCTAAAGTCTTATAGGAAGCTTTTTGGCATTAAGCATTACCCCAACTATTTCTTAAAGCACTCAGTTTTTCCTCTTCACCACACCATTTTGCTGAGACGTTTTTGGGGCAGAGAATTTGTAATACCCATATTCATAAATATGGTAGGGATTATTTTATCGTCATAGTGAATATATTTAACTAGTTTTATAGAGGAATTCTATAAAAAGTTTCAATAGGGGCAAAATGGTCATTTCACACAGAATCACATGTTCAAGTGAAAAGTGTGTATGATAAATATAATGTATTAAGTGTGCTAGCCATGAGAATAAAGTGGTAGAAAGGTTATGGACAATATACGTAATGTGATGCCGAGATAAATACGTGTTTGTAAAGTAATAGAAATAAATTAAAGAATAAGGGTAAAATGGTCTTTTCAATCACATGTTCAAGTGAATATATTTAACTAGTTTTATAGAGGAATTCCATAAAAGTTTCAATAGGGGCAAAATGGTCATTTCACACAGAATCACATGTTCAAGTGAAAAGTGAGTATGATAAATATAATGTATTAAGTGTGCTAGCCATGAGAATAGAGTGGTAGAAAGGTTATGGACAATACACGTAATGTGACGCCGAGATAAATACGTGCTTGTAAAGTAATAAAAAGAAATTAAAGAATAAAGGTAAAATGGTCTTTTCACTCACAACTAAATGAAAAAGTGGGGAGTGAAAATGACCAAGAACATGTGTTAAATCCATTGAAAGTGAGGGTATATCGGTAAATGCACGTATGGCATAATTGGAATTTTCATAAAAGTGCAAGGGCAAAATGGGAATATATATAAGGTTTCAATTGACGAAACCCTAGCCATTGTCATCCCTTGAGCACGCCACATTCTTCCCCCATTTCTCCTCCATTTCTTCAAAGTCTTCCAAGAGAATTACATGAGAATTCATACCTAAGTGAATATATGTTCATTTTATGGCTTTCTAAGGTAACAATTTTAACAAAAGTTTGTGAATTCTGTTTTATAAGTATGAGTTCTTATGAATTTATGTGTTTTAGCATGAATCAATGGCGAAAGTGAGCAAATGAAGCAAATAAAAGGATTCTTGCGAGAAAAAGGTAAGTAAACCCAATCTAAGCTTTAATTTGAGTAGTATATGTGTAAGTTGATTCTTGAGTGTTTGTGTATGGTGTATGATAAGAAGTATTGGTTGTTTAGATGCTTGTTTGACGGAGAATAATGTGTAGAAGTTCAGCCAAGATGAGTAGTTATGTAGATATGATGTTTTGGTTGAACTTTGGATGAAATTTTGATGAGTTAATGTTGGAATTTGGAAGTGTTGAATCCGGCTAGATTTGAAGTTAAGTTTGGTGAGTTTTTACTCCAATTTTGGTGGATTTGGAGAGATGTGGAAGCTTGGCCAACCAAATATTTGCATGTGCATGTGAATTGTTTGATGAAAATTCAAAGAGAAATGCATGCATGAGTTTGTTAAATCTTGTTGAAGAAATTGTTTGAGAAAGGAAAGAATTGGAGTTGAAAGGTTATGTTAGGCTTAACCAAGTGTAAGTTTAGTTTTCAAGAGTGCATTTTGGTATGCCAAAATTTAGAATAACTCTTGGTTATGTTAGTTCAATGAAATGAATGGCCTTTAGTGCATGGTTCAAGTTGCTTGAACTTTTAGCATTAGTTTGAATGGCATATTGTATTTAGTCATTGAATTATGAGTTTTGAGACTTCTGACTTTAGAAAAATGATGGCGAGAATTGCATATTAAATTGTTGCAATAGTGTAGTATTGATGATAGTAAAAGATGGGTGATTATATTATAATATTACAATATGCCACAATAAATTGTCAAGCTTGTATGCTTGAAATTAGAAAGATCATTCAAAGAATGGCTTGACCAAATGAGTATATTATTGTTTCTTGTTTTGAGATTAGTTATAAATAATATGTAATAAGTGATTTTATTGTATATAGAATAGAAAAGCTTTCCCAAGTATAAACATCAAAGAAATAGAAGTTTAGTTAACGTATTAAATACATGAGCATTTTAGAAATTGATTGGTATGAGTATAGTTTTCATGCCTTATTATATATTACAACCTATAGAATTTTGCCAGAAGATCTTGAGAATATGTTGTATTGGCCAAAAGTTTAGTTAAGAATGTTAGAAAGAAATTATAATTTAGCCAAAGTATATATGTTGTGTCATATGTTACATTGAATTTACAATGATTAATATGACATTACAGATTGATGTATAGAATGTAGCCAAAAGAAAAGAAGAAAGAAGGGCATGTATAACAATTGAAGTTGATGGTCATGTAAGAGAATGCAAATTTATGGCATTAGGATTTGTATTTAGAAAGTTGTACAAGACATGTTTGTTACATTAGAAAATATTAGAGAGTTGTTTAATGACATGGTTATGTGACATATAAGTTTGAGAAAATCTAGTAGCATAATTAGGCGAGTTAGTAGACTTAATACCTAAGTTGTGGCATCGATTTTTATAGAAGAAATTAGATTGCCCAAAATGTAGAATTCATTCCCTAGTTGAATTGTGCCGTTTTAATATCTCACTAATAGAATTATAGAAGAGTAGAATTTGTGAGAGCTAATGTACTTGTGTACATGTACATTTTACATAGCATGGTAGAATTGAGGAATTATAGAATTATGTAGAAATTATAGAATCGCGTACGTACACACGATGCATAGAATTCATAAATAAAGAATAAAATAGAAATTGTTTAATTTAAGCGTTTACTAGAATAGAACTTTGGGCTTTCCAGAAAAGTATATAAATAAAAGCCTTAGAATTAATAGAATATATGCCAGAGTCAGACACATATTTTGGGATTATGCATAGATAACATATAAATGCATGACATAGCATAGCATATATTTCAGAAATTTTAAAATTATTGGAAAATGTCTAGCTAGTTATTTTGCAGATTTACAGAGCATGTTTTCAGAGGGCTGTTGCGATGGGGAACCTGTGAGCATTTGCTACGTTAGCTAGTGGCGATAGAGATGTAGAAGTTTCCCACATGCACACCGCCATTAGAGAGCGGCCTCAGAATAGAAAACAAAATTGTACAGCCCACTAGAAGTGCATGTGGATGAGGACTGTACCTAGAAAGAATTTCATAATACACTCACACAGCCAAGGTTCCAAATCCATGCCTTAGCCTAGTCCGATCGACAAACCAGAACAGAATATAGAAAGAATTTCATAAAGAAAGAAAAATAGAATAAGAAATAGAAAACAGAAAGAATTTCAGAAATAAAGGAAAACAATTAGAAAAGAATTTTAAGAAAGAATACAAACATGATCATTTGCATATGCATTAGACATTTTATGTGCATTGCATCTTATGCATTTATGCATTGATTAAAGAGTTTATTTTATTATTGCGTGTCTGACTAGCCAAGAAAATAAAATAGAAGCCCGTGAGAATAGAGAAGAAAAGAAAATACAAGCCCATGAGAATAGCCAGGAAAAAAAAAAAAAAACCCATGAGAATAGAGAAGAAAAGAAAATAGAAACCCATAAAAATAGAGAAGAAAAGAAAATAGAAGCCTACAAGAATAGAAAAGAAATTAGAGATATACAAGAAAAGAACATATATTAGATACATGCTAGAAAAGAACAGAAATTAGAAACATGACAAATAGCAAGGAAACTTAGTGATTTATTGAGTAGGGAAATAAAATAGAAAGTTATAATCTAGCAGAGAAGAGAAATAAAATGATAAAGAATAGCATAGCCCTAGAAGGATTTAGAAAGATTTGAGAAAAATAGAAGACTACTAAGTAGTACGCCTAAGAATAAAGAGAGAAAGCAAACAGAAATTTATAAGCAGTACAGCGAAAACGGGGATAGCGGAGTAAGAGCATAGTTAGATTTGGTTTACTTACTGAGCATTATAGCTCACCTCGTTGCTTTCCTTATTTTTGCAGATATTAGATTGTAGTGGTCGGGAGACGTCAAGTTGGTGAGAGGATTGCACACACTGTCTCAGTGAAGAATTTTAATGTGGATTTATATATATGAGAAATAATCTTTGTGTAATAGTATGTTATAATTGGATTAAGGATAAAATTTTTAAACAAACACCCTTTTTAAACTAGCAATTCTCTGGATTCTCTCTATAGGATACTCAATGAATACTTGTCTAGTGAGACATTACAGAATTCATGGAAGATGCCTTGCGAATCACAAAAATTAGTAAAATCAGCATTCTTAAATTCCTTACCATGGTCACTCCTAATTCTCACAATCTTTGTAGCCATGGAACTCTTCTCAACAAGCAACCTCTTAGCCAATTTTTGAAAAGCATTAAAGGAGTTAGATTTCTCACGTAAAAAATCAACCTAAGTAAACCTTGAAAAATCATTAACACAAACAAACACATACCTCTTACCTCCCAAACTCTCAGTTTGCATAAGACCCATTAGATCCATATGGAGCAATTCCAAAACACATGAGGTATTGAGATTAGATAAAACTTTATGAGATATCCTGGTTTGTTTACCTTGTTGACATGGACCAGACACATTACCTTTTAGAGATTCAAGTTTTGGTACCCCTTTAAGCACTTCCCTTTTTGGAAGTCTTACCAAGTCCTTGAAGTTCATGTGACCAAGTTTCTCATGCACAAGTTAGTGGAATCAGTTTTGGAGCTGAAACATGACACACGGTTAGAAAGTAAGTAACAATTGTCATTGGACCTTTTACCCTCAAGTAAAGAGACACCTTTACTATTCAAAATTTGACATTTGTCCTTTGAAAATTAAACTACAAAATTTTATCACAAATTTGACTAATACTAATCAAATTAGTCTTCAAACCATCAATAAGTAAAACATCTTTCAAAATAGAAAAATCAGGTAGAACAATTGACCCTTTACCAAGAATTTTACCTTTCTTTCCATCATCATATGTGACATGCCCACTATCAACCGATTCAAGTTCAGTCAAGAGAGATTTATTGCCTATCACATGCCTCGAACAACCACTGTCTAGATACCAAAGATCATTTTGAAATGCAAGCAAAGAGGTATGAGACACAAAACAGTTCACATCAGTCTTAGGTTTCCAAGTTCTTTTGGAAGAAAAACCATTGTTAGCATTATGATTCACATTAGAAAACAAATTATGATTTTCAAGAACTTTCTTCTAATAAGCAATAAACCTGAAGCATTTGGGTCTGATGTGACCCTTTTTGTTACAAAAATGACACACTAAAATGAATTTTGATACCTTCGTAGCTTGTCTTACAACAACATCTTCAGTAGGAGTTTTGGTGGCTTTAACAAATGTCCATGCACTGGAATTCGATGTGCTAGTACCAGGACTAAAACCCAAGCCATACCGATCTCCGAAGGATTTTTCTTGACCAAGGACTTCATCAAGCTTGAGAGAACCTACATTCAACTTATCAATAATGGCCTTAGCCTCAGTTAGTTTAGTAGTTAGAACAACAATCTTTTCGAACAAGGCTTTCTTTTGCTTCAACAAGGTTGCATTTTCAATTCCAAGAGATTGCAACTTTTTCACTGCCTTTAGCCAATGGTCATACATCTTATCATATGCTTCTTGTTGTTTAGCATAGATATCAATAGTGTCATCCAAAGACTCACTCTTACCATCTTCTTGATTCATGGTGAAGGTAAGAACATTTTCATCATCACCGGACTCATCTTCCTGACTTTCATCTTAGTCACTCTCACTCAAAGTGGCAATCATAGCCTTACCTTTCTTCTTTTTTAGTGTGTTAGCACACTTAGATTTTATATGCCCAAATCCCTCACACTCAAATCACTTGATCCCTTATTTTTTCATTTCTTTATCTTTTGAAAATCTTTTTGAAAAGGTATCAGGGGTTTGTTGGTCATAAAACTTTTTCACAAAAGGTTTTCTACCATTTCCACTCTCAAAAGGCTCTTTCATGTTTTTCTTTAAAAACTTTGAAAAATTCTGTATAAGTAAAGCACAATTTTCATCATCCAAGCCACTTGAATTCACATTTTCAAAAAGTTCATAATATACCTCATGTTTGAGAGCCAAATCTTTGCTCGGTTTTTGTTTATCCCAACGTTTCAAGTTCAGTTCATAGGTTTGGAGAAAGCCAATGAGTTCATCAATGTCCATGACATCCATATCACAGCATTCTTCAATGGTGGTCACTTTTGACATAAACCTCTGGGGAAGTGAGCAAAGAACTTTCCTGACAAGTCCAATATTAGAATATGTTTTTGCCAAAGCAAAACATTCATTAGAAATGCCACACACCCTACCATAAAGAGCGGTGATAGTCTCATCATCATGCATGTTCAAATTTTCAAAATCAATCAGAAGTCTTCTAAGTCTATTTCGTTTAACAGCACTAGTGCCCTCATTTTTTACTTGTAGCCTATCCCAAGCATCCTTGGAACGTTCACAGTTGGCTATGACTTTCATTTGATTAACATTAACAGCATTAAACAAAGCATGAATGACTTTAGAGTTATAGTTTAAAATAGTTAACTCATCAACAGTCCAACTAGCAACCATTTTTGGTCTAGATACCTCATTTTCATCAATAACCAAAGCTGTCCAACCATCCACAATCGTGGACCAGACTCTTTCATCAATAGACTTAAGAAAAGCACGCATCCTAGATCTCCATGTATAGTAGTTAGGACCTTCTAACAAAGATGGTCTATGAGCATACCCTCTTTCAGTAAAGAAACTCATGACGAAAAACAACTAGACCGATGCTAACACAGCAAAGGGAAGTGCATACACAGACACATAGCAAATCTAAAACAAAACGCAATAACATATCATATTTCATCCAAACACAAGACCAATCAAATGCACACAAAAACAAGAAAAATGGTTAAGGATCAACAGAAGCAACTTATTAGAACAAGCTTTGATACCACTTGTTAGACTTGGTTAACTCTATATAGCATTTAGGTACCCATTTTTTCAAAGTGCAGCAGAAGTTTTTACCAAGCTGATTAATGATTATCAAATTAAGTATGAATCAACATCCATAAACAATAAATGTAAAACACACCAGCATATACATGGCTCGACTAAAACCACTCTTAGCCTAAATCCATGGGACATCGTCCAAATCAAAGCAAATCCACTAAACAACAAACATTACAACATATAGATCAAAGCTGATTTTAGCTACAACAAAGAGAACTCCCTGTTCTAGTTACACTAAACACCACCCTCTAAATCTCTAGCGTCTTGTTGCTCTGAGGACCTCTTCACATCAGGAACAGACTCGAAGAACACTTGAGCTCCACCCAAGCTTCACATGCCAAAGCCACCCTCCAGCATCAACAATGGAACCAAGTTCTAGGCACCATTCAACAACTATATGAGATGATGAAAGTTTGGCACAATAACATAAGGTGAACCTTTGAGGAATAAAACTCTCTGAAAATTTTAGAGCATAAGCAAATAAAATATCAAAGGTTAGGTTTACAATGAGCAAGAATAAAGATGATATAGCCCAATTTTGTGCTCCCCAATTCTTGCCAAGTCAGCAAACAAGGGTTGACATTTTTTTGTCCAAAAATGGAAAAAATTTCATCTATCTTTTGGAACTACAACCAAAAGGGGAAAATAGTTGATTTTCCCTGGACCAGTACTAAAGGATATTGGGACACCTGTAAGTGGTCCAAATGACAACACAAAAGATGCAAAGAAAAATATATTAGTTGTTAAGTGAAAAATGCAATATGTGTAAAAGTAAGTCAGATATGTGATGTTAGCACAATAGAAAAGCGAGGGCACACACGAAGTAAATCGCGAAATAAAATGAAACAAGCAAATGTCTTATATAAGTGTGCAAGCACACATCCACTGTGCACAGACATAAAATGAAAAAGCAAAAGGCATAAGCTGGACAGAATTAAACATGTGGAGGACAAAAAGAATTCTAACTTTTTGTTGGACCACAAACATATGTTTTCTCTTTCTTGTGGGATCACAGACAAAATCTTACAACCTTTTAGGACCACATAAAGGAAATTGTGATACCTGTAAAGTTAGCTCACACAAGAATATCATGAATCAATATAAGCTTGATGGGCAAGACAACAAAAAGAAAACGCCACTTGGCAAAATGAGTCAAATAGCATATGCTTGCACAAAAAAACGATGTGTACACATATTTAATCAACAATTCATTGTCCACCATAACATTAGTTTGACAAACAAATCGACACTTTTCACATCCAACAGTAATTGACTCAATACACTAGTTACCACCAAACGACTTTGTGACAGTAACGATTTTTGAGTTAATCTTAGCTTTAGATTTTGAGCAAGAAGGTTAAAGCATTAGAGCGATGCCTCTTTTAGGATCCATGGTATGTCTTTGAAGGTGATATTAAAATGAAGAGTGAACTTAAGCGTTAAAGTGGTAAAAAGGATTTCATATAACTTGGGATTTACTTGCATAATAGAAGAATAAAACATCTGTAAGAAATAATGAATAATTGGGCATAAAGCTATTCACAGAGCGCTCAAATGATTAAAAGAAAAGAGTGACTCTCACGATTGCAAAGGATCACCAATAAAATTTTCACACTGTTTGGCAAAACTCTTAATATTATGTTGTTTGATATCTATGCAAAAGAGTTGAGAGATAATGTTCATATCGTCGATTGTAGTATAGGAAAAGTGTCAGACACCTTCTTTTAAGATTCATTTATAATTTTTTATTAATCAATCAAACATTTAAATTTAAAAATGTTAATTTAAATTTTTAAAATTTAATAAATAAATTTATTAGAAACATAATTATAAATTATTACAAAATAATAATGCACCAAAACCACTAACATAGTATTACATAACAAAATTTATGTAGCACAAATTAAAATCTTACATTGGTTTTGCGTATGTTTTATGTCACATTAAGTAGTATAGGGATATCCCAATGTATGGATGTTTGACATGAACACGCATTAAGGTTGTAATTCAGTCTACGTGATGTTGGCAAACATTCCCAAGTCGCTGAGAAGTTGAGCGAACATCATTTCAAAAATATTTAAGAATTCGTAAAGTTACCTTTAACAAAGGTATTCCTCAGCTACCCACAACACACAACAAATAATACACTTAATTCACAGGTGAGATTTTGAAAAAAGTAATATATATATGATATTTTCAATTTAAGAAAATGATGTATTATATGCTTTTTAATATAATTTAGCTTTAATGAAAAAATCTCTTAATCTTGAGAAATAGTTTAATTGTTCTAACTCGGTAACCACTTTTTGTTAAGGATAGAAATTATCAAAATCATAATTCATCATCATAAAAATTATATAAATATATGAAAACATTATTATTAAAATTCATTGTACATCCTCTTTCCTCTTCTTTTTACACATTTTTTCCGAATTTTTCCCTAAAATTTTAAATTAAAAATAATATTATTTTTTACCAATGATTAAAATAAATTCAATTCATCGGGTTAATCTATATTCATTTTTCTTATTTTTCAAGAATAAAATATGCATTTTAAATGAAAAAACTTATTATATTAAACAATTAATTTTATTTTTACAATGCACTGTTTTTTTGTCATACTTCAAACAAATTCAGCCCTCCTGAAAAAAAAAAAAAAAAAAAAAGTTTCTACTTTGCCTCTGGTTAATTTGTTTAATATAAGTGGGCATAATATTAGTGCAGTGTTTCACGTAAAAAAAGTATGGTATCACTAAAACAAATAAAATTTCTATTATATATTATCATCAGTGAAAGCAAACAAACACACTCATAAAATGGCATACAGATTATAATTAGCTTATAGCTGATCGCACTGTGTAGGGAGAAATGATAAGGTTTCTTTCTGAAGATCATGTAGCACCAATATGTTTTGCTGTTGTACATTTCCAAAGATTGACATACCACTGGAACTCCCCATCGCCAAGCAAACCAAACCCGTACTTGAATCACCAACCATATAGTTTTCACTTGGCAAATCTAAATCAGCTCCTTCGAAATGAAATACCAACGTAGGTACCTCTACATTTGTTGAATCTGATGGCAAAGTGAAGCAAAGATCAAGCCCTGTTGATCCTGAATTATCCACTGAAAGTTTTGTTTTAGAAATAAAAGCTTTTTTAACCAAATCGAAAGCACTCTCTTCTAAATACGTTATCGTTGTGCCAGAATCAATTATTAAGCCACCATTGCCATCATCTTGGAGTGCAAAAGTAGATTTCTTGATTGGTAAGCGAGTGCCACCCACGGATATCCCTTCAAGAGAAAGATAATAAAAAGCTGGCTGTAATGAATTTTTGATTAAAGGGGTTGTTTTGATTGTATTCGATGTGGTATTCACACTTGCTAAGGATCCCATCAAAAGTGTACTGGTTTTTTGGTCATCAATTGAAATAAGGCAGTAAGAGAATTTTGCTTCTTTTAGTTGTGAAACTAGAGATAAAGGTCCACGACCAAGCCCCACCAGACCTGCACCTTGGCTGAATCCACTTCCTTCATTGTCTTCTCCACAACCGAACCCAATTTTGGGAACTGAAACCTTACCGAACGTGAATGTTTCAGCGCCCATAATTCCTTGCGTAGAAGAATAATCACCATATGTATAGAGATATTCACATCCATCGTTGCATGTTGATTGAGGTAGAGCTTCACAGAGGGAGTCAGAGCAAGAAATCTTAGCGAAAGAAGATGACTTTTTGGGATCAAAAATTGGAGTAGGCTGATCATAACACTCAGTACAAGGCTTGCATTGAGTCCATATCAAATCACTTCCAGTATCCAAGATTGCATGGTAACTTTGTGGGGGAGTACCGATTGATAACTCCATAAGAAACTCACCGTTGCCGGCATGAATAGGGGCTTCAATTTGAGAATCTGAAGCCGCCAAAGCCATACCACTGAGTCTTTGCAACCGGTATTGCCCACGCTTCATTCCACGTTTGATACGCTGAAACATGGTTAAGTTCTTGCCGGAATCTACATGTTTAAGGCTGACCCTGAAACCAGTAGTTTTCACATTCTGGTGTTCTTTTAAAGCTCGCCTAGAAAAGGATAATGAAGGAGAAAAACATAATGCGCTTATTGCTAATGCTAGTAATATGACTTTTGATAAAAAAACCATTGAAACCATTAAATGCTTTTGAGAAAGAGAGAATAGTGATAGGAAGAGAACAATTAGAGAGATGAGGACCAAATATATATATATATAGGTGTACAAATACGAAATAGTCTTACACGTTAAAGAATGTAACGCCGGCCAGTGCCAAGTGTAGGAAAATATTATAATAATAAGCAGAAATAATAGGTGAAGTAGATCAAGAGAAGTTTGCTTATGGATAGTGGGAACTATGACTTGCCAACCTGAGAGGAAGTTGAGATATCAAACAAGAATGGCGAAAAAGTATTGGCCGGGTCAGGCGTGGTTGTTGAGGAAAATGAGATACAAAAACAACATAACATTTTTGTGAAGGAAGAATTATATTCTCACACGCTTCGCTTTCATCTCCAAATTTTAATTTAAAAAAAAATAATAATAAATGAATATCACTCTTTGATTATGACTTACGAAACTAAAATTGCTAAAATAAAATGATTAAAGGAGTCGGGAGATGGAAGATTCAAAATATTAAGAGTGTCCACAAAGAAAAAGCTCATGTCACAATTAAAGGTACTTAAAATCATGATGAACCTGTATATTATATGGAGGAGAATAGTAG